AAAAAAAAAAAAAAAAGTTAAAATCTTTTTTTTTTTTTTTTAAACACTGTGTACAGAATCAGAGATTGAGGAGGTCATTTCTGCAAGAAGAAACAAGGCAAAAAGCAGTGCTACTCCACAAATATGAATCAAGAATTAAGACTCTGATACTCCCAAAAAATGAGGAATTGGCTATGGCAAAAAACAAGACAATGGAACTCCAAGATTTCTTTAGAAGGGCAGAAATGGAGGCCAAAATCTGGAAGGAAAAGACCATAGAAAATGAAGCCACTGTGTTTAACCTCAACAACAGGCTGAATCAAGTCATAGAAAAAGACTGCTTGATGTTCAATAATGGAGCCCAAGATGCAGTTTCATTTTGTGGTTCTTCAAACATAAAAAGCAGTACCCAAGAGGAAAAAGAATCTGAAGAACAGAGGAAAAAGATGGCTTGTAAATTGTGCCAAGTTAGAAACTCCTGTGTAGTTTTCTTTCCTTGCAGGCACCTCTGCAGCTGCACATCTTGTGAAACAGTTTTAGGGTTGTGTCCACTCTGTGAATCTGTAAAAGAAGCAAGCCTAGAAGTTCTCTTTTTGTGAGTAATTCTTGGAAACAAAAGGCAACGTTTCAGTTTCTTGGGGAATACACTTTTTGGTGGATTATTTTGGTGATTTGACTGGTTAATCTCTCTTGTTTTTGCCATTTGGTCTTTTTTGGGTCTTTGTACTTACTAATATAGAAAAAAGTAACAGGACAATCAAGTGTCGACACGGCAAAATGTCAAAAATGATATAAAATAAAATAAAAATGTAGCATTATTAACATTTTTTCCCTGTAGTCATGGAATTGTTCTACTAACACTGGCCCAAATCAATGGCATCATGACTGATGACAGTAAGAAATGAATAGTACAGAAAGAATCTTGCTTTTCACCTCAACTGGTTAATTAGTTCTTTTCCTGATATAGATTGCCTGCCATCGATTTATTCTTTAAATGGTTTATTGAAGAAATTCCAGCTCTGTGAAAATGCGGAAATTGTGCCATACCCTGAAGCGCGTTGGGTAGCTTGAACTTGAATGGTCAAACACATAACTCCAAAGCTCGAAAAATAGAGACAATGTTGTGGGACTCAGGTTATTTTGAGTCTGGTTGTGGGGGGCCTGCGACTCACATAGATTATTATTCCATATGTCATAAATTTTTCTTAAGTGCCAATGTACAAAAGTATGCTGTGTTGAGTTCGGATAATTTTTAGGATGATGATACAGGTACATCAGAGGTTATATAAGGGTGTCCATAATGGACACCCGACGCCTCCTTATTGGAGGGATGGTTGGTGGGGTCGGCACTCAATCCAATGGGAGGCACCGAGTGTCCATTATGGACACCCTTATGTAGCACTTGATGTACTAAAAGAATAACTCATAGTAATTTCGCATTACTAAAGACATATTATGGACACCCTTATGTAGCACTTGATGTACAAGAAGAATAACTCTAATTTTTAATCTAGTTCGACACATCTGAAATTAAAATATTTAGGCCTCTAGTTTGATCCTTGAGGTTTAAAAGCACAATTATGATCATGGAACGACCAAATCCTACAGGCTCTAGCTATGCTGCTGCCTCAGCCTCCACTGCTGCAAGATAAATAGTACTTGAGTCTGCAAACCTCTGCTGCCTATTACCTGGGTGATTCACTGTAAAACGCCACAAAATTATTCTCGTCAATCAGGTGCATCAGTAATTGTACGGACATATGTTGTAATTTTATGTATTTCTTCTCTGTTTTAGTAGTTATGGCCTGTTAGTGTGGGGTTCCCTACCTTCCCTCCTCGTTTTTGGACGGTAGTTCAATATTGCTATACATATATTCTAGTTAACATTGTGTCTTACATTGTACTATGTGACACACAATTTTACTATTGATTTATCCAACATTTAAAATAATCAATGATCTCAATTTTGTCACATATTCAAGTATCATTCAAGTTGTATATAAATAATATACATACAAGTAACATAATTGACAGTAGTTTCCTTTAACAGAGGTAATCAATCAAGTTCTTTACTTCCAAAAAAGTCCTGTTATAAATATTTGTTTATCATTGTAAATTTAAAATCAAACGGTCAATTCTTTCCCTTTTGTGGAGTGTGCAAGCTTTTGTAACTTAGGGTATGTGTACTCAACCCTTTTGGGGCAAAGCAAATAGACCTCGTCGGCCTATGTCATCAGGTATGAAGATTGTCCCTCAATTATAGGTCTCCTCGAGTATATGCGTTGACCTTGCTTCTAACAAACCTAATTCATTAGGACGCTTCTATATGATAAGGCTTATCCAACTCCGATAAGGTTGAGTCCTATCATATCTCTTTTGTTGTATCATGATGAGACTCGACTATCAGAGTTCCATCTTCATTCAAACACCAGTTGCCTAATATCTATCAAATTGTAATTCTTAGACATGGTAAGATTTCCAAACATCCTATAACTCCCGAAATCGGATAAAGGTGTTCAACTAATTCAATTCTACTAGGATTGTATTACTTGCCTCTATAAATACAAAGACTTTGATCATTATTCAAGTACGCCTTTACATAAAATTTCAACATATATCATTTCGCATAAATTCTCTCTAACTTAAGCATCGAATGGACAACGAAGATACATCTTAAAGCCTTTGTTTCAGGTACTGAAAGATTTTGTTCTTGCTCATTTTGAATCCTCAAGCTTGAGAATAGTCGGGTACGATTTTTGGTAACATCAAGTATCATAGCATACTTGGAAGTTTTTCAATGTGGACATATTTGACGTACTTGATAAAGTGAAGGGTGTTAGGAAAGTTAGCAAGGAAATGACATTCACGAGATTTGGAATTATTTCTTGTAATGGGTAGAGTTCTTGGAATGCACGTAACTCTAACCTATTCAGCGGGGGAGTTGTCACTCACCATCCCAAGTAAATAAATAATGAACGATTCACATGCTTATCTCCGTGCATATGATGGAGCTTGGGTGTTGGATAAATTAAATAAATTGAACTTAAAAGTCTAGTTACTGCAAGATGGACGATACCTTCAATGGGATACATGAAGAGTGACGATACTGGTGTAACCATGAAAGCAATGTACCTGGGCTTTTTTAGAAATTCCAAGGATGCATCTTCTTATATATATAATAGTTTTTTGCCCGTGCATCCTTAAAAGTCTAGTTACTACAAGATGGGCGATACCTTGAATGGGACACATGAAAAGTGACGATACTGGTGTAACCATGAAAGCAATGTACCTGGGCTTTTTTAGAAATTCCAAGGATGCATCTTCTTATATACATACTAGTTTGAAGGTAACATTAGTGTATTAAATATGTTAAATTATCGTGAATAACATCTTGAATGTTAGATAGGGGTAATTTAAATTATCCCAGTAAATTTGCAATTGATGTAAAATAAATTTTATTTAGAAATGAAAGTTAACTTGTTGAGTCAAGTCTAATTTTCAAGAAAGGTTCGGTGTTGTTTAATTTAACATTGTGTGTTTGAATGTAACTACCAACTTGACTATTATTTTAATGATTGTGTGTTTAATTAAGTAAAGAATTAAAAACAAAACATAAATAAAAAGCAAGTGAAATAATGAGTCGTTAAACATTATTTATCAACAATGATATAGTATAGTGTAGTGTAGTAGTACTTGATGTTAAAACGAAGACTTTATAAGTTAACGGAGTAATATTTCAATTTATATATGAAGGTTTATACTGAAATTATATATAAACTAAGAAGAAAAAAGAATTGATATATAAAATAGTATTGAAGTTAAAAATAAATGTGATGAATGAATTAACCTGAATTTATAGTACTTAATAAATCATTGTTAAGT